CAAGTTGAGGAGCTTGCCTTAGATGCTTTAGCCTATACTTGAATTGCTTCTCCCATAGACCTAGGTTCTTTCTTTTACTTTTGATTAGATAATTCAATACTTCATATTTCATTATGTGTACCACATTCAACTATGTATGAGATAATATTATCTTTAACCTTATCAAGGTTTATATAAATTCTAATCCTTATTAAGGTTTACATGAATTTTAAAGTGAATATATTCATTCTCAAGTTGAACTTTATCGTCAGAATTTGATGGATCTTGTATAGATGAACGATGAAGTGTTGTAGTGCTTTTATTAAAAATTATACCCAGCATTTACAATGTTTCAGCTCATACTTCTTGAATCTTGTAGATAAATAATGAAGTGCTGCAATTGTCGTATAGTTCATATAAGCTAACATAAAAACTACTTCTAAAATAGTTCATAGAAACTAACATTGAAAATTATTACTAAACATAGTTCACCACTGAACATAAAAACTATAAGTCCAAGTATAACTTTATAGATTTTATAATCATGCTTTCTTCTTTTCCAAACTCGTAGTTATAAACAACTTTCGCTTAATGGACGTAGTAAATTATTTAATTGTCTTCACATGAATATTACTAGGGATATTAATCTTATTATGAGCAACAACACAATCAATAACACAACTATTAATAGTTGATGGGGGTTCTAATATTAGCTTCGGTTAACCTTGGCAAGTTGAGTTGAGGTGCTTGCCTTGGATGCCTCAACCCTTCCTTGAATTGCTTCTCCCATAAACCTAGGTTCTTCTTCTTCTTCTTCTTCCTCTTCTTCTGATTAGATAATTCTATACTTCATTTTTCATTATGTGTAACACATTCAACTATGTTTTGGGCAACATTATCTTCATCCTTTTCAAAATTTATCTGAATTCTAATCCTCATTAAGGTTTTTATATATTTTAAAGTGAATATACCCATTCTTAAATTGAACCTTACCGTTTGGTAGATTTCATATAGATGAATGATGAAGTGTTGTAATGCTTTTGTTAAAAATTGTGTCCAGCAATTTATAATGTTCCAACCCATATTTCTTGAATCATGCAGCCTCAAGATATACCTACAAAATATGCATTTTCAACATAATGTGTTAAACCACACACACTTTGAACATATTGGGTTGGAAATGCATATTTTGGAGATACATCGTCAGCTTGCACGATTCAATAAGTATGGATTGGATCATTATAAATTGCTGGGTATAATTTTTCATAAAAATACCGCAACAGGTGTACTTCATGCATTTATATAAGATATACCAAATTTTGATGATGAGGTTCAATTTGAGAATAAGTATAGTCACTTTAGAGTTTATATAAACCTTGATAAGGATGAAGATAATGTTGCCCCATAAATAGTTGAATGTGTTACGCACTATGAAAAACAAAATATTGAATTTTCTGATTCAAAAGAAAAAGAATGATCCTAAGTTTATGCAAATGTGAGAAGCAATTTAAGCGCGGGATGGGATCCAAGATAGAAACTGAAGCTCATCTTGCTAAAGTTGAGAGGTAGAGGTTAAGCATCGAAGCTAGTGTTGGAACCTCATCATCTATTAGTTGTCCTATTACCAATTGTGTTGCTGTTTATGATGAGATGGATTTTTCTAGTGATATTTATGTCAAGACAATGAAACAATTTACTGTATTCATTAACAAGGAGTTGTTTATGGTCATGTATTTGGAAAGAAAGAAGACACGGTTAGAATGCCTGTAAAATTATACTTGAACTTATACCTTTTATGTTGGGTGTTGGATTATGTTTAGTGGTAATTTTCATGAGATAAGGTGCTAAAATATCTCGAAAGTATATATGGAGGAGTACCTAATGCCTTAAAAAAAATTTTTTTTGGCTCTAAAATATCCTGAAACTTTATTTTTGTAGCAAAAATGTTCTGATTGAACCATCTCTAACGGTGACTGTTAATTTTTACCATAATTGCTTACATGGCAGCGGCGTGTATACTGAATTTTCCACCTCATCATCACATCTCCTCCTCTCACCCTTTCTCTCTTCATTTGCTCTTTCTCGCCCCCCCTTATCCGCCTTTCCTCTGAAACTAACAATGAAACTGAGAGAGAGAAGCATGAATTTGGGCCATCTATCTCACAATTCTACTTGCTACCACGAAGCAATTAGATTATTGGATTAAATAATTGATGAGAACAAAAATTTATATACATGAGCTCCTCCATCAAAAAACAAAGAAACGAAGAAGATGATGATAAGTATTGAGTATGTCAAAACATATTATTAATCCTTTAACTTTAGTTCTTTAATTTTATTTTGTTTCATATTAAATTAAATATTTAATTTTCAAAATGCGTTAAAAAAGTTTTGTAATGGTTAACATTTTTTTTTTTTTGATGCGAGAAAGGCATTCATCAGTACGTGCTTACATCAGAATGTAGTAAGTCAATAGAAAATGTAATTGCATAATCAAAAGTAATAATTAATATAATAATTATAATTAAAATATTTTTAATGCCTAAAATAAATAATTACAAATTTAAAAATATTTTGATGGAAGACATTAAAAATTATAACCTTCAAATATACAAGTTCTTTTGTCTGGTTTGTTTTAAAGATATTTTTTACCTTAAAAAAATGACAAACTCAAGATATATAGATCTTTCAGCTCAAAAATAACAAAAGAAAAGAATATATAATTTTTTTTGGCAAACATGAAAAAATAAATAATTTTTATTTTCTGGTTTGTATTAAGAATATTTTAATTATAAGAAAAGATAAATATTTAATTCTTATACAATTCAACATTTTTTTTTGTTTTTTTGCCAACCAATTCAACCTTAGGCTGAAGTTTCCTAACTACTCACTCTACCTAAAATAATCGAAATGATTTATTTTAGGGTATTTTAAACGTTTTACAAAAATCATTTTTGAAAATTTATTTTTAGGCGGTACTTTTTAACATTTTGAAGTGGAAATTTTTTAATTTTTCTATAATCTTAGGCAAAGATGATTTCTTTTAAGTTTTAATAATATTTTAATTAAATTTATTACCTTCATTAATTTATTATAACAGTGATCACAGCAATTTTGGATATGCAAGTCGTTATTTTCGGCATTATAAGTTTTACCCTTTGTTTGGATGGGAAGAAAAGTTAGGAGGAAAGAAAATGAGATAAGAGAAAATGGGAAGAAGAGAAAATTAGAGAGAAAATATTATCACCTCTCATGTTTGGACGGACAAGAGAAAACAGAAAGGAAAGAAAATGAGTAAACACATGAATGACTAAGATATTATTACTGTTATATCAAAATATAGTTTGATTAAAATCAAATTAAATATCATAATGAAAAACCATATTTACATCAACATGATTAGATAATTTAAAATCAACTTATCTGATAAAGATATATTACCATGTTATTATATTTTAATATCAAATAATTTTGTAAAAAAAGAAAGAAAAAAATAACATTTGTGTAATGTAATACTAAAAAAAACCCAAAACAACAACTCTACTTATTTTCTCTTTTAGTTCATTTTAGAAAGATTTTTGCAATTTTAGTTATTTCATTTTCCAATCAAACAAATACAGAAGAAAGACATGAAAATAATAAATAAAGTGAAAAAAATAAAAAAATAAAAAGGTATTATTTTGCTGAAAAAAACATATGTAAGGATAGAGAAGGAAAATGCGTTTTCTTCTCATTTTCTCTCCACATATGGAGAGAAAAGTTGAGAAAAAAATGGGATGTGGGACCCACTTCATTTTCTTTCTAATTTTTCTTTCCTCTCATTTTTCTTCCCTCATCCAAATAGAGGAAAAACCACTTCTTCCCTTATTTTCCTTTTTAGTTTTCCTTATTCTCTCATTTTCTCTCTATCCAAACCATGGAAGAAAAAACCGGACCGGACCGGCCGGTTCAACCGGAAAACCGGTGAACCGGTGTAATGTCCGGTCTGGTTTACTAGATGAACCGGGCAATGTTCAAACCGGTATTGAACCGGTTAAATCGGTCAAAACCGGTATTGAACCGTGTAAACCGCCGGTTGGAGTGGGTTAGGCGGTTTAGATTTTTGCTCCTCCCACCGGTGTAAAGCAACGCCGCTCTGTCATTGGGAAAAAAAAAAAGACACCGAAAAACTTAAATATGCCAATCTAATCATTTTCTGATATGATCTTGAGAAAGAAATGAAAAGAAGAAAGAAGAAAAGAAACTCCATATTTGTTTGCCTGCCTGCTGATTCTATGCTCAGTGTTCTAATCAAACTTCGCTGGTGCTTGTGGTCGTTGTTTTCACTCTTCATTTCTTGCTTCATCATCGTCATTCTTACTGCATGGTTGTCGTTGCTGTATCTTCATCTGACTATTCCTCTTTCAAGACGCAGCTCGTGTTGTTGGAGGAAAGGAGAAAGAAAGGGAAGAAAAAAGAGAGCTTGAAAGTAAGGCAGAAGAGAGTGGAGAAGAGAGGGGAAAAGAAAGCTTCGTGACCAGGAAACATAATAGTCTGCAGAAGCGGCGAGAGATGTGCAAAATGAAAGTGACATGATTTGATGGATGAGTGTGCAAAGAGAAAAGAAGGTAGAAAAAGTAGAGGCCTCCACGTGATTACGCAAGAGACAAGGAGAGAGAATGAGAATTAAAAATACAAATATCAGAAAATAAAAACCAAAAGATAAAATTTAATAGGTCATGAATTTATAAAGATAAAAATAAAAATTAAATACTATTTTTTTTTATAATTAGAATAGGAATTTTTTTTACATATTTTAATTATTACCGGTTTAACCCGGTCTAACCCCGATCTGACCCATTAACCCTTAAACCAGTACATCAACCGGTTTATTGACCGGTCCGGTTTTTTGTTCCTTGATCCAAACATAACATCGCATTAATGTTCTCTCGATGGCGATTGTATTAGCTGCTGAGGGATGAAGATCACCGATGATGTAAATTGGGCCAAGGCCCTGTTGCCCAACCAACAGCAAACCCTAGTTTCATCAACCGTAACCCACACACTTGAATCCAAAGCCTATTATCCTGCCTTCCCAATTCCCATAGTAGCTGGCTTCCGGCTATTGCTATTTCCTTACTCACGCTGCCACAAGCTGGTGTTTATTTTGAAGCTTCGATTGGTGATTTTCAAGCTTCATGTTACTAAGGCTAACTTGCCATTTATAAAATCCAGTTTTTGCTCAAATACAGCCGCGGCTAGTATAATGTAATTTAATACTGTCACTTCTTTGTGGGTTTGGTGTCAAAAGTGTGAATTTAGGCCTTTTGCAATCAAGAAAAGAATAAATGGATTTGCATCTTCGATTACGAACTTTTGGGTTGTACATTTCGCCGGCGAGTATATTGGTTATGCTTTCTATATGAGTTTTATTTCCTTTTTCCGTTTTTCTTTTTGGGCATACTGAACTATTAGACATCGCGTATGTATATTTGAGGCTATTTGTACGGAAGATTATGAAACAGCTTTAACCTTTTTGTTTTTTATTCTTGCTTTTCTGTTTCTGAAGTTTTTTTTTTTTTTTTTTTGGGTGATTACAGCTCAGGAGCGATCAAATTTTGAATGGTTTATAAACTTATCTACGAATCATATATCATAAATTTATCAAGATGGCTTCTCCGCGAGGAGGATGCTTGACAGATACTAATGTGTTCATGGAACTTGCAATACAGCAGGTATTTGCTGAGGTCTTGCTATCGTTCTTGCAATGATAGATTATAGATGGCTATGTTTGTGCCGTTCCGATTATGCTCATGTCGCAGTGTCAGTTACTGATATATTCTTTAAGTTCATATATATAACTTGGAAGCATATATAACACAACTTAAGCACTTGTCAAATAAAAGTAGTGGTCAAAGTGTAAATACCGACAGGTGGAATCAGTGTGTGAAGTTATAAATTAAAATGGAAAAAGAAAGTTGTAGGTAAGCAATGACGATCAGACACTTAATTCAAGTCTAGCAGAATTAGTTGCATGGCAGTTCAAAATGAAGGCGTAAAAAGATTTGAACCCAACATGTGTGTGGGTCTTTATGAGTTGCCTTAGACCATGTAGATTCAAATATAAAAAGCTTTTTGCCCAATATACCTTTACTTTTTTGTAATTGAACTTAGTTTCCTTATGCTCTTGCTTTTTGCTATATGGCAGGCAAAAATAGCTTTGGATGTCCTTGAAGTTCCTGTTGGGTAAGTTACTTTCACTGTTATTCTCTTGCTCAATACATTAAAATAGGCGTATGTGCATATGTTCAGACATGCACCATTTCATCTTGGTGCATTGAGAGTTAAGATGGAAAGTTTCATTGCAATGTTATTCAAAGTGGAATGAGGAGAAACTGCATCAAACATATTCCAGTACTCAGCTTTTGAACTTGATGTACTAGTGACCTTGGACAAAATTGAGAGATGAATATATGCTATGAGATTATTTTATTTACTCTGTGACCTTTTTGTCCTTTGTATAATCGCCAGTTGATTCTCAAATGTACCTTTTGTGTCCTTATCTTTGGTCATTTCCTCACCTTATCAAGATCCCTTGAATCAGGAATCATACTTGTATGCATTGGCATTCTCAGTTATCCAAACTCCCTTCATTTTGAATATCAAAATTTGTATAATAAATTTAAAGTTCATTGAAATTGACCCCATTATTTTCAGTCAATAATTTCAAAAATTTCTTTGTACTTCTATGCATAGCCTTGAAAGTTGAAAGTATCCTATTTGTGGTTTACTTACCATCATCCCAGCTAACTACGCGAACCAAAGAGCAAATCACTTTTAAAGAATGACATATTGCTGACCTTTGTTCCCTTTTCTTTGTCTTCCTCTTTCTCTCCTATTGGACTCCAAAAGCTCTATTCTTGCTTGCTCTGCCCAGCATTTGTTACAATATCCCCAAGATTGTCCTACGTGAAATCCTTAATTTGTTCTTAGCTTTCCCTCAATTCATAATTTTTTTTTCCAGAATTCCTAATTTTCCATACATTGAAGATGGAAAGACTTTCCTTGGCCTATGAAAGGTCCGAATTTGACAAACACAGCATGATATTATCCCTAAATGGGTGTCTAATTTTGTAAATGGTTTTCCATTTGTTGGAATAAGGCTTTGTTTATTCATTGCCTGATCTTCCGATGTAATGGGTTCATTGAAGAAAATTTTGATCTGTTTTTTTCATTAAAGCACAATTATTGGTGTATATTAATTTTAATTTTATTTAAACCATGTTATGTGTTGCCAGCTGTGTGATTGTTGAGGATGGGAAGGTTGTAGCATCTGGGAGGAATCGAACTACTGAGACACGAAATGTAATTTGATTAATGACTTATTTTAATTTTATGTTATCATCATCTGTGCTTAGTTACATCTTAGGGTTGCTCCTTCAATCGTCTATTTGTTGTTTGGATAAATTCTGAATCATTATGCCTGTTGGCTGTAACTTATGTGAAATAACTTAGGCTTGTGAAATTTAGATTTGGGTTTTTCACTTTTTCACTTTGCTGCAATTTTAATTTTTCTGTCATAGATAAATGGCAAGTGAAAGCTTCAAACATTTACAGCTTCAGGAAGGTGAAGCAAGTGGACTGGACTTCTGTAAATGCTGATTTGAAACGCAAATTCAATTTCTAAAATTAGAAATGTGATCTTTTACTTGATTATATGTATATATATTTAATTTATAACCTGAATACTGGAAAAGGCGCTAATTTAGCCCCAGATTTCAATTTGCATTGTTTCTTAATGATGAATGCTCGGTGTTGGAAAGCCCATGATGCTCTCCGGTCATCACCCATGATTCTAGCTAGGAATAAATCCCTGATTATGTGCTGCTGTATCTCTGAATAATTGTAATTGAATTTTGATTGATTATAACTGGATTGTTCAATTGAATTTTGATTGATTATAACCGGATTGTTCTCACCATCCGGACTCTATAAATTGTACCCTTTCCTATGGAATAATATGTATGAGTGAATTAGTCATATATTGAGTCATGGTATCAGAGTAGTGGGTTTGATTCGAACCCAGACCGTCGCCCTGAACCTCTGCCGGTAAACAAAAAAAGAGAGAGAGAGTGAGGTGTCCAGAGATCTGAAGACAGAGTAGGACGTGATCGACACCACCCCTCCAATCCTCACCAGAACCCTCTGATTGGCGCATCCCTAGAAGTCGATGTCCAACGGAGCCGCTCGTGAAGCCCACGTGCCGTCGCAAGCCTCCGCGCATGAAGTCCATGCGCTGTCGCCAGAGCCACACAATACCTCCATTCAATCCAGAAAATGAACCCATCAGACTTTCCACCCTTTTTTGGGTTTGTTCACAATTTGCCAGTCACCAAAGGCGCCATCCTAATGGCTTTTATGTCTGGCACATCCTCAAATACTCAAGGTACTCCTTCACAAATGCCCCTCTCTAAAAACCCTAATTCAGTGTCGGATTTGACAATAGCCACTGAACATCAAGCTATGGTGGTGACTCAAACTGAATGGCAACAATTACCTTCAGTGGTCTCAAAGTGTATTAATGTATCTGCGTGGGAAGCGTAAGGAGAAGTACATCAATGGAGAAGCAAAACAACCTTCACATAATGATTCTAATTTTGACACCTGGTTTGCTAAAAACAATCAGGTGATGTCCTGGCTATGCAACTCAATGACTCTTGAAATTAGTGGGGGATACCTTCTTGCAAGCACAGCCAAGGAGATCTGGGATGCTGCTAAACGCACTTACTCTACATTGGACAACACTGCTGCCTTGTTGGATCTAAAGAGGCAACTCAAAGATCTGAAACAAGGAAACCTGAGTGTAACACAACACCACAGCACTCTGACAAGGATATGGCAGCAATTGGATCTCTTTGAAGTACATTCTTGGAAGAATATTGATGATGCTAACTAGTACAGATAGTCAATTGAAAAAGGGCGAACATATGATTTTCTATTGGGCCTGAATGTTGTTTTTGAAGAAGTAAGAGGTAGAATTATGAGTCTAAAGCCTCTCCTGTTCCTATTTGAAGTCTCTAGCATGGTTAAGTTCGAAGAAAGCTGGAGACTCTTCACCCAGGGTAACCAAACTCCAATAGATGGCTCTGCATTAGTCACAAGGAGTTCCCAGACTTCAGAGAACTCTGAAAGAAAAGGGAACAAGTGGTGAAATCACTGTAATAAGAAAGGACACACTAGAGATGCATGCTGGAAACTAAATGGAAAACCAACCTAAGGGAAACAGAAACAACGGCAAGAAGGAAAGAGTCACAACACCTCTTCTAAGGAAAAAGGTGATGATGGAGACTGCTTGACCAGAGAAGAACTTCAAATGCTTCGTAAGATACTTGAAAAGCAAAACACATCAAAATCGGTTCCCAATGTAAACTCGATTCAATCAGGTAATTCCATTATGGCGCTTAATGCAATGGTCACTAGTGATGAGACATTGATTGTTGACTTTGGTGCTACAGACCACATGACTGGTAACAAGTCCCTCTTCAAAACCCTCAAATATTGCCATGAGAACCTGAGAGCAAAAGTAGCAATTTTGACTATATACTAAAGTTGAAGGTGTTGGCACTGTGGCTCTTTCTCATGATTTGGAAATTCATAATGTTTTGTTTGTTCCTGCTCTCACTTGCAATCTTATATCTGTGAGCAAATTGACTAAAGGACAAGTATGTCGGGTGATCTTTGATGATGTTAATTGTGTTTTTCAGGATTTGACCTCGGGGAGGAAGATTTTGACTGCTAAAGAATGGGATAGACTCTACTACTTGGAAGGAAAGGATATGAAGACTAAAAGAGCAAGGAAAGCTATGGTTAGCTCTAATTCTCAAAATGAAAATGTAATGTTGTGGCATCAAAGATTAGGCCACCCCAACGTTGATTCTATGAAGCATGTGTTTCCAACTTTATTCAATAAAAATTCTCCTTTTTTTCAATGTGAAACTTGTTAAATTGCCAAACAAACTCGCGCCTCTAATCCCAAACATATTTACAAACCAACCACTCTGTTTACAATAATCCATGTCGACATGTGGGGACCAGCCAAAACCAAAAACCGAATAGGTACAAGGTGGTTTATTACATTCATAGATGATCATACCCGGGTTATGTGGGTTTACCTTATGAAAGAGAAATCCGAAGCATTACAAATTTTCAAAAACTTTTACTCCTTTGTGAGAACCTAATTCCAAACTCCTATCAAAGTACTGAGAAGTGACAATGTGAAAGAGTATGTGAGTGGAGCTTTTAGGAAATTTTTTGAGCAACAGGGAATCCATCACCAAACCTCCTATGTCTATACTCCTCAACAAAATGGAGTTGCCGAGCGGAAGAATAGGCATCTTTTGGAAGTAACCCGAGCCGTTATGATGGAAAGAAATGTCCCAAGTTTGTTTTAGGGAGATGCTGTGCTAACTGTTGCCTATCTTATCAACTGAATGGCCTCCAAAATCCTTAATTTTAGTACCCCTATCCAAAAACTTCTTGAGACCTACCCCACCTCACCTATAATCAATACCATCCCACAAAAAGTCTTTGGGTGCGTTGTCTTTGTCCATAAACATGATGGGGGAAAACTAGGTGCTAGAACGGAAAAATGCATTTTCCTCAGGTATTCTTCAACCCACAAATGTTATAAGTGTTATTGTCCCTCTACTAGGAAACTCATAGTCTCCAAAGACACAGTCTTTTATGAGTATGATGCATACTATCTTAAATTACCCATTCAGGGGGAGACCTATGGAGTAGAATGGCTAATTACACTTAAACCTAGTATCAACTCACCTCTGAACCATCCTGAACCCTTTGTACCACAAGAAGGAATCCCTGAACCAGAACCGGGGGTCACCTCCACCAGAACAGCCCAAAAGCCCTATAAACAATCGTCACACAATGGAAACAAATGCTGAGATTGATGTGGGGGTGACAGAGCACTCAAGGTCTCAATCAAGTGAATAAGACAATAGTAGTGGAGTTCCTTCCATTCCAAGGCAGCAACATGATTCCAATCCAGAGTTGGATCTAAAGAGCTAGGATGGCCTATTGCACTTAGAAAGGGGGTAAGGTCTTGTACTCAACATCCTATTCAAAGATTTGTCTCTTATGGCAATTTATCTGCTAGAATGCAAACCTTTGTGGTGAATATCTCACAGGTGAAAATTCTAGAAACATTTCAATAGGTTATGAAAGATCCTAATTGGAAACATGCAGCATACGAAGAATTGAAAGCCTTGAAGGAGAATAACACGTGGGATATCACCACACTCCCTAAGGGCAAGAAAGCAGTGGGTTGCAGGTGGATCTTCACCCCTAAATTCAATCCTGACGGAAGCATCAACAATTACAAAGGGAGATTAGTTGCAAAAGGATACACTCAAACTTATGGGATTGATTATTAAGAAATGTTTGCACCAGTGGCAAAGTTCAATACCATTCAGGTACTCCTGTCTCTAGCTGCTAACCTTGACGGTCCCTATATCAACTGGATGTAAAGAATGCCTTTCTAAATGGAGATTTAGAGGAGGAAGAATACATGGAAGTCCCAGATGGAGTAATAGCTCCGCCTCCACCTAATTCGGTTTGCAAGCTGAAGAAATCACTATATGGCCTGAAATAGTCTTCACGAGCGTGGTTTGATAGGTTTGCCAAAGCAATCAAAAGGTTTGGGCACAACCAAGGGCAAACTGATCACACCCTTTTCGTCAAACACTATGATGGAAGGGTAACGATCCTAATTTTGTATGTGGATGATATAGTCATAACTGGTAATGATGAAGCTTCTATCTCTCAACTCAAGAAAGCCCTGGCTAGGGAATTCTAAGTGAAGGACCTAGGTCAAATGAAGTATTTTCTCAGATTGGAGGTTGCTAGATCCAAGAAGGGTATAAGTGTGTCCCAACAGAAATACACCTTTAATTTACTCCATGAAACAGGAATACTTGGCGCTAAACTAAATGAAACACCTATGGAAGAGTCATGCAATCTGGAAGTTAAACCAAAAGGGGTCCCAGTTGACTCAGAGAGGTACAGAAGACTTGTGGGTAAACTGATCTACTTGACCCATGCACGACCTGATATTAGCTATGCAGTTGGGGTGGTAAGCCAATTTATGCACCATCCTAAGGAAGAACATATGGAAGTAGTGTATAAAATCCTGACCTACCTCAAACACAATCTTGGAAGAGGAATATTCTTTAAAAGGGAGAATACTAGAAACATAGAGGTCTACACCAATGCAGATCATGGGAGAGCTGTGGATAACAGGAGGTTTGGCACGGGTTATTGCACTTACGTTTAGGGAAACCTTGTCACTTGGCGAAGCAAGAAACAAACCGTAGTCTCAAGGAGCAGTGCTGAAGCTGAGCTAAGAGCTGTAGCTCTGGGTGTATGTGAAGGAATGTGGGTGATTAGACTCCTAAAGGAATTGAGAATCCCCTATAAAGGTCCAGTGAACCTCTGGTGTGACAACCAAGCCTGTATTGAAATGACAAAGAATCCAGTGTATCATAACTGAACAAAGCATGTCGATATTGATCGGCACTTTATCAAAGAAAAGGCAGAAGGTGGTATCATTAACTTGAACTATGTGTGCTCAACTGATCAGATTGCTGACATTATGACCACACCTTTAGCCAGGGTCAAGTTTGAAGGGTTTCAAGGCAAGCTGGGAATAGTTGACATCTACTCTCTAGCTTGAGGGGGAGTGTTGGAAAGCCCATGATGCTCTTCGGTCATCACCCATGATTCTAGCTAGGAATAAATCCCTGATTATGTGCTGCTGTATCTCTGAATAATTGTAATTGAATTTTGATTGATTATAACCGGATTGTTCTCACCATCCAGACTCTATAAATTGTACCCTTTCATATGGAATAATATGTAGGAGTGAATTAATCATATATTGAGTCACTCGGCTGGCCCATTATTATAGGCTTAGGTGTAGTTGACTGAGCTTATGGCATTTTAGTATTCATTTTAACTAAGCCTAATACCTCTGAGTCAAAGCTAATTGTTCTCACATTTAATAGCAATTTCATGTTGATTTTTCCTCCTGAAAGAAAAGGTTTTGACTTAGTCTAATCAAACTCTTGTTATTTTACCAAACGTGTAATGAAAAATAAGAAATTTTTCTTGTTACTAGTTTGAAGTAACAACCACTGTGTACTTTCCATTGTTGCATTTTTTCTTTTTTTAATTGACGCAATAACTTTCTGTTTTCCACTGGTTTTCACTCCCATATTTTCCATTTTGCAAATTCACTCTTGACAGGCTAATAGGCATGCAGAAATGGAAGCTATAGATGATCTTCTGGAACAGTGGCAGAAAAATGGACTTTCAACCTCTGAAGTTGCTGGAAAATTCTCAAGCTGCAGCCTTTATGTTACATGTGAACCGTGCATAATGTGTGCGTCAGCTTTATCAATTCTAGGTATGCTACTTCAATTATTCTATTCATAACTGTCACATTGTTTAAGTTATTTGACACTATTTTTATCCATTTGTTGCTATATTTATTCCGCAGGTATAAAGGAGGTATATTATGGATGTGCAAATGATAAATTTGGAGGATGTGGATCAATATTGTCGTTACATTTAGGCAACAATATAAATAAGTATGTCTCTCTGGCCAGCAGCGTCTATCAAATATTGTATTTAAGTGTCAGTTATACTAGGTTTTCTCAAGTGGAAGCCATTTTTGTTGTTTGTGAATCTTTATTTATTGTTTTGCTTATTTAATTGTTAGTTATCTTATCCTAATATAGTTACATCTCATGTTCTTTTGCAGTCTGTCTATTTCTGCTCTAACAATATTATACTTGGCTTCCGATGAAAAATCTAAGGTGCTGAACTGCAAAAAAAGATGAAACTGTTAATCAATACCTCTATTTCTAAATGATTATACGAGTGACTGAGCAGTGTTCATCAGACTCGCTTGCTTTGTGCATAAGTATAGTTGTTGTATGGCATGGACGTTAGTGAGAATATTTGGTGGGCTTTTTTAAGGTGATCTTTTTGGCATTCGTCTGCAAGTTCATATTATAAATCCTCAAAGCAAGTACATAATGTCTTTTGTAACTGGTGGGTTTATCTATTGAAGCACATCTGTCTTGAATCTTGAAGGGTACGCTTCTCACGGTTTGCATTGAAGGGAAATATTTGTTATGAAGGTGTCCCTAAATAATTTTTATTTACCCTTTTTAAACCAATACAAACTATGTGTATATATATATATATTATCATTGATGGTTCATATGTTTTCTCTTATTTGGCAGTGAAGTAAAACCAGGAAATGGTTTCAAATGTACAGGGGGCATAATGGCATCAGAAGCAGTCCTCCTTCTGCGGACATTTTATGAACAAGGAAATCCAAATGGTAAGTTCCCTTTTTATATCCCCCCCCCCCCCCGGGCATTAAGATGGCAAGTTGCTGTAAATTACTGCAATTTATAGTATTTGGGAGGTGCTACTCCACACTTTCAAAAGTGCTGTGTGTTGGTACTTAAGACATCATTTTTATTGTTCTTCTGGTTCATTGGCATATGTGGTTTGTTTGACAAGTGTTTAATTGTGAATGTGAAAGTCAATTAGCGAAACCAGAGTATGTGTTGCAAAATAAATGGTGCATCTTACCTTGAAGGCTGGCAAAGATAATTCGACTGGCAGTTCTCCATGCCTATCAAATTAAATTTGATATTCTAATGATGATGGCTTCGAAGAAGTCACAACATCTACGTGTATTTGATCTGGCTTCCAGTAAATGCACAAGGAAAATGAGTAGAACTGTTTAACTATTGGCTGTTTCGCAGTGATACATTGACAGACATACACCAGTGGCATAATAAAGTAAATAAACTACCCAAATCTTTCCTTGGTCAGTAGAACTGTTTAACTATTGGCTGTTTCGCAGTGATGCATTGACAGACATATACCAGTGGCATAATAAAGTAAATAAACTACCCAAATCTTTCCTTGGTGATATACATGGCTTTATTTTTCATTTAAAGTTGGTAAGATCTCGGTCAGTGCATCCTTGAGACATTAGGTTTGCTCCATTGTTCTTCTGGTTCTTTAGCACGTGTTTGTTGTATGACAAGTATTTGGTTGTGAATTTGAAAGCCAATTAGCAGAGCAAGAGCATCTATTGCAAAAAGAAATGGTGCATCTTGCCTTGAAGGTTGGCCAAAATAGCTAGCAATTCTCCGTGCCTATCAAATTGATTTTATGCTGTTTTGATGATGGCCTCGAACAAGTTGCAACAACTTTTTGTGCTTAATCTTACTCATATATTGCTATACTTTTAATCCACATAGATAGTCTGCATAAAGATGGTATATCTGACTTTTGTCTACTAGGTGCATCCTTAAGGCTTTGGGTTTGCTTAATTGTTCTTTTGGTTCGTTAATATGTGTTTGTCTGTTGTTAGTGTTTGGCAAGTTTTGGTTGTGAATGTTAAAGCCAATTAGCAGAGCAAGAGCATCTATTGCAAAATTAAATGGTGCATCCTGCCTTGAACGTTGGCAAAAATAAGACTAGTGATTCTCCGTGCCTATCAAATTGATTTTAGACTGTTTTGATAATGCTTCGACCAAATTGCCACATGTATTTATGCTTGATCTTACTGATTTATATGGCTATATTTTTAATTTACATGGACAGTCTGCACAAAGATGGTATGATATCTGAGTTTTTTTTACTAGGTGCATCCTTAAGGCTCCAAGGTTTGCTTTAATGTTCTCCTGGTTCATTAGTGTTTTTAATGTTTTGTTTGACAAGTTTTGGTTGTGAATGTGAAAGCCAATTAGCAGAGTAAGAGCATCTATTGCAAAATTAAATGGTGCATCTTTCCTTGAAGGTTGGCCAAAGTAGCTAGTGATTCTCCGTGCCTATCAAATTGGTTTTCTACTGTTTTGATAATGGCCTCGAACAAGTCGCAACATCTATTTGTGCTCGATCTTACTCATCTATATAGCTATACTTTTAATCCACATTAGACAGTCTGCATAAAGATGGCTTGACATCTAAGTTTTGTTCACTAGGTGCATCCTTAAAGCTTCAGGTTTGCTTTATTGTTCTCTTGTTTCATTAGTATGTGTTTTGTATATGTTGTTTGACAAATTTTGGTTGTGAACGTGAAAGCCAATTAGCAGAGCAAGGGCATCTCATGCCAAAATAAATGGTGCATCTTGCCTTGAAGGTTGGCAGAAGTAACTGGCGGTTCTCCGTGCCTATTAAATTATGCCATTTTGATGATGGCCTCGAACAAGCTGCAACATCTATTTGTACTTAATTTACTACCAGTAGATGTACAAGGAACATGAGTAGCAGTGTAGCACAGGCTAGCCTTGGGCTGTTTACTGTGATGCATTTACAAGCATTTACTGGGGGCACAACAAAGTGCAGCCAACGTGCTGGATATTTTTCTTGTCTTCCTTTTTTATCTTTGATTTAAACTTAACTCTGGCTACTATACAAACTTGAATCTTTCAACCACAAAGATGATTAAGATAAACACCGAGTCAAAGCTCATCATACGCAAGTTTTAATTCCATAGGTTGTAGAAGCTGGTTCATAAATCAATATCCTTAAAAAGCAGAATAAGTACTGTTGCTCTACTGCTTTTTTATTTATTCATGTACCTGTTAATTTGCTTTCTTGATTTCCATGCGATCAGAAAAAACATGCTGAATCCCAGTTTTAGTGCACAGTGATTGAGGCTATTTGGTAGAATAATTTATGCTGCTAAAAAAGGCTTCAAATTTAGGTTGAGACTTGAGAATTTTGATTATGGGTTGGACCTGCACAGGGAAATGGGAACTAGTATTTTTTCCCTCTCTTGAGGCCTATTCATGATTCATATTTATTTCTCCTCAGCTCCAAAGCCTCACAGGCCACTAACTCGCCAGCTGTGAAGTTGAAATTGAAGTAAGTTCATTACATTCTGCTTTAATTGTTTGTGCCTCAACACTATTTAAGTTCGTTGGCCATGAAACTGATTCTCCTTTTAAACTTACAGATGACAATGTTGTTAAGGCTACTACACACATCACACATGATTCATGATGGTACACCGGGATTCTGCTTTGCTGTGGCATAGTGCTTTCAAGCAGGAGAAGCAGCCGATGCATGGTCCAACGGAACTTTTTGGATCAAAGAAAGATGAATTAAATGCCATTACTGTAAGTGAATGTTGCTGCATTAGAAGTGCAAATTAATTGCCAAAAAATATTTAAAGCTCTCCACTTTCACTAATATTGAAATGTTTTGAGCAGTGAATCAGAAAGTAATTTTTCCCGTTTGGTACAACGTAGATGTAGGAAGATAAGATCTCAATGATGAGAATTGGCCTAGCAGTCAAATTTAACGCCTCATGTGATATGGATTCTCATAGATGACGCATGCAGGTTGGAGTATTAAGTATCTACACACTAGCTTTAGGATTTTCTACTTTAGGGGGTTTGATAGTTTTTTTTTCTTCCTATT